TGTTATGCTAAGTGAAATAAGTCATACAGAGAAAGACAGATACCATATGTTTTCACTCTTATGTGGATCCTGAGAAACTTAACAGAAGACCATGGGGGAGGGGAAGGAAAAAAAAATAGTTAGAAAGGGAGAGAGCCAAACCATAAGAGACTCTTAAAAACTGAGAACAAACTGAGGGTTGATGGGGGGTGGGAGGGAGGGGAGGGTGGGTGATGGGCATCGAGGAGGGCACCTGTTGGGATGAGCCTGGGTATTGTATAGAAACAAATCTGACAATAAATTTCATATTTAAAAAAAAGAAAAAAATTTAAGAACTGACTTATTATTCCTTTGTTGGAGATATTAACTGGTTTCCATTCTAAAAGAAATTACAAAATAATAAACACATCTCTACTTTTACATGATCTATAGAACACTTGTTTATTTCCAGGTGCTTTAAGCTTCTGCCCTGAAGCTGGAAAAATCCCCAGGAAAAAATCTTTCTGAAGACACAGAAACAGACACATGCATACACACCAACAACGATGCAAGGCAATTTACTGTTTAAGGAATCAAATGAATGGTTTGAACACCAAGTGCAGGCAAGACTGATGAGGCTGCAGTCTTGCGGAGGACTTACAGAAGAAGCAGGGTTTGGGCTGGGCCTTGAAGGCACGAAAGAGTTTAGTCAGTCAGGGGAAAGAGGAGAAAGAGATATTCTCGATGACAGAACAGTCTGTCTGGGCAAAAACAGACTTGAAGAAAGGCAAAAGAGTGCCCTGTTGTGAGGAAATGCAGGTGCCAGAAGGACAGAACAGATTTCCTTGTCAGGGAACACAGGGAAATAAGGCCGGGTGGGTGGGGGTGGGGAACCAGAGTATGAAGGGTCTGAAATGCGACGCTGAGAAGCTGGGCCCTACTGTAGGACCACTGGCAAATCATGACGTTTACTAACAGGGACCTGACAGGGCGGCATTCTGTAAGACTGATCTCATGGTGAAGCGGTGCTCGGACGACTGAGGGAGGAGGGAGACAGCTGGCCAGTCCACCAGTACAGGCATGAGTTGGCCAGGTCTCTATATACCGTGGTGACAGTGATGGGAACAGAGAATGGGATGGGACCAGGAGAAACTCCAAAGAAAGAATGCTGCTTAGAAAATGGCTGACTCTTTACTCTGTCTTATGAGCCAGATCTAAACCTTAAACTTCAGTTATCCAGGCTTGAATGGTGACACCACTGATAGAAACTGAAAACAGAGGGGAACTGTGTATTGGGAGTAAATGGGCAATCACAATAAATTTTAGAACTGTGACGTTAGAGAGACCATGGAATCTTCAAGTAGTTTGTAAACTGAAATAGGTCAGAGCTTGGAAAGATGTCAGTGTCAAAGACTTGCTTTTCCCAGTATGAACGTGCTGTCCAAATGTGAAAAAAAAAATGTATTACAAAATTATCCTACCATTCTAGCATCAAATTTGGCCATTTTCTTATCTATCTCTTTCCAACCTTCATTTACGAAGCTGCAATTCTAGAACAGTAGTCCCTCCTTATCCATGGGGGACACGGTCCAAGACCCCCAGTGGATGCCTAAAACTGCGGATAGTACTGAATCCCATATATGCTATGTTTTCTCTTCTACACACACACCTATGACAAAGCTCAATTTTTAAGTTAGGTACAGTCAGAGATTAACAACAATAATAAAGTAGAGCCATTATAACAATATGCTGCAATAAAAGTTATGTGAATGTGGCCTCTCTCTCTCTCTCTCAAAACATCTCATTATACTGAACTCACCCTTCTTGTGACAATGTGAGAGCACAACATGCCTACGTGGTGAGATGAAATGAGGTGAATGACACAGGCACAGTGACGTAATTTTGGTTACTGCTGACCTTTCTGACTAGATGTCAAAAGAAGGACCATCTGCTTTCTACTGCAGTCAACTGCGGGTAACTAAAACCGTGGAAGGCCAAACCACGGATAAGGAGGGACTACTCTAATGCTTTACCTCTGAAAACAGTTCAACAACCATTGAATGCCATAGTCCATTTATTTAAATACCCTCTCCCTCCTTTTTTTGGTTAATAAACAGAAGAAGTTGATTGATAAAATTGGCACTGTGGAATAGGTAGTGATCTCAAAGCTGTAACTATGTTTTTATTTTGGGGGTTTTTTGTTTGTTTGTTTGTTTGTTTTGAGAAGAGCTGTAACTATGGTAACTTGGGTAAGTTACCTATACTGTCTCAGCCTCAGTTTCCTCATTTGTATAACGGGGATAATTATATTTACTACATAAGACTTGAAGAACTAAATAAGGTACAAGTAGGCCCTTAACAAATGTCAGATGCTCCACCCCACATTTGCTTCTGTTTTCTTCAGTACAGCCCCACCCAGGACCCAAACTGGGTCACTCAAGATTTATAACCCATAATGGTTAAAATTCAGATGCTGAATCCCTTGACCAATGCAAAAAGATGACAAAATATCTCTTTCACATTTGCGCACAAGGGCTTGTGCAAAGATTGCTTGTTCTGCCATCTGGTTAATGAATTAGTACATATGCTTGCTGTGACGATGCAAAAGAGTGGGGAATCTTAAAAAACATTTCAAACAAAGCGTTGAGCTTAAATGCTTGTTATCAAAATCCAGGGATTAACCTAAAGAGAGAAAAAAAACCTAGTCCCACAGAGTTATACAGTCTTAATTATGTATTCACTCCAGCCAACGCACAGCAATCATTTCAATTTGAGTTGCTTCCAGTTTTGCAGAGATGAATTTCTTATCACTTGATAGGAGTCAGCTGGACTCTTTCATACTGACTGCAAGAGAACAGAGCGGTACTGTACTGTACTGCTCAAAGCACTGTTAGGATTTCTGCTCAAGCCTAAGAGAGTTTAGATTTCTAGCAAAAAGACCTACCACTCTAACTAGACACTGTGGTATTATCTTTGAGTGACCCACTATTATCGACTTATCTATCTTTGCATCCAACCCATCACTCCTGGGATCTAATCCCTTTGTCCCCCCAGTTCATTCCTAGAGATTGGAGATAAAAATATGAAACCAGAAACTTGAGATACTTACTAATTAGGCAGTGCATGTCTTGGGAATATCGAGAGTTATCAGGAATTGTGAAGTTTCCGTCACAAATTGCCACCTGACTCTCTCCAAATGGCAAAGTGAAGTAGCATAATTTATACAACAAACATCCAAGAGCCTAAAAAAAATAAAGCAGATTGCTACGAGTGGTTTATTTACCATAACTGTAAATGGGTCTACTGAGACATACTGGCATCATCCACACTTACTAGCAGATATAAAAGCTACGTACTATTAACCTATTAGAAGAAACCTGAATTTAGAACTCAGCACCACTATTTAGCTGCTGAGTTACGATATTTCTACCAGCATTACCAAATGGTGTTCCGAAAAAGAACAAGTATTTCAGTTATTTTGCTCTTAGGAACTAGTAACACATATATGAAAACCACCTAAATAATGGGCAGGTCACCTGAATAATTTTCACAGAGCTCTAAAATAATTTCCTTTGACATGCTTCACGGAGCAGTGGCAGGTCACCCCGAGAATAACTCTGAGAGATAGGGAGACAGTGATATGGTACAGTGGCCACGCTTGCTATGGCACTGCCTGGATTAGACTTGGGAATTTACAGTCAAGACTGCTGGTATCTGAGATGCGGATAGGTTAGTTGACACCTACCCAAATGTCTGCCTTCGTAGTGATGATTTTGCCACTGTACAGGTTGACCATTTCTGGTGCTCGATAGGACAGCGTTGTGTATCTACAATCAAGAGATTTGGTTTTTGTTAAATATGTCAATGCTATCGTTAAAAACCAGGGGTAGCAGAAATACTTTTTAAATACATTTATGTTTCTATTAATAAAGTCTAGTTCCCTGGGAGCAATCTGCAGAAGAGAGTAGGAAATAGTAGTGTAGATAAAATGAAAAGCTGTCCTGGGTACACACCCATGGCCCTTTAGAAGCAGCCCTTCTATCTGAGAGCGTGTGGCAACCCAGACGCTAAGGCACTTAAATAAACTCTAAAAGCAACTTTTCTTGGGTCCTCAAATGAAAAAATCTTCTTCTGCAAATCCTTACTGTTCGATATCATGTCTTGCTGATTTGTTTTTAAAAATAGTAATTTCCTTAAGTGTGGCTCAATGCTGATGTGTAATACTGGCTGAGACACTGCACAACAGCAGAAAGAATAGCTGAGGTGGGAGGTGGACGAATCTCTGCTGCCGGAAGAGGAATGAAGCAAGAGTTTTCCCCTTATCTCTGGCTCAAGGAAAGAGGAGTACAAGCTCCGCTTCAAAGAGCATCTTGGTGTGGCCAAGCATGTGACTTATGCTGCTTGAGTCTCTAAAGCCCACAGGGCACCGTGCTCTAGGTGTCCACCAGAGCCTTGGACCAGAAGTCTTCCCACCCCAGGCTTGGCTGCCAAGAGTGATGCAGGAAAGGAGACTGAGGGTCAGGATACAGGTGTGCATACTAGACTTCTGGATTATTAGTAGTATTATGGCCTGTGAACAATCTAACACTCTTGACAATAGGGGAAAATGGGTCAGGTTCTTAACTGGAGCCAGAAATTTAAAGAAGCTTTTTCTCATGGCAGTCAGTGATTCAGTATCTGTAGAGACTTCACATTCCTACTTACCATTAATTCCATTAGATTGGTGACCTCCTTAGGAGCAAGAAGGAATACACAGCAATGCAGGGTTCAGTGAAAAGCACATCCAACTGACTGGTAATGTCATAGTTGTTGTGATTCCGCTTAAAAACATCACAGTACTTCTATGGTTTGTGTACCATTCAGCTTTTTAAGGGCTGTGCGACTTAAGTCAAAATATCTATGTACAGTGACCACTGGTCCATTAATAAAGCGCTGTATGATTCCTTCATTTTACGCTATTGACCAACGCTTGCAAACCACTCCACAGCCTCCTCTTAAAATCAAACAATCCCACTGCCCAACACGATGCTCTGAGACAAGGGGGGCCATGACTAGCACCCTGGTCTTTCCACCCTGACCTTCTCATCCAGAAGCTGAAAGTAATGTTGCCGATCTGCAAATGGACAAAACTCCAAGAGAAGAGGAAAGGCTTACTTCTTAATCTCATCTTCTACTGCATTGACTCCCTCAGTTTGTGGATTCTGAAATTTGTTGGTGGCGCTTCCAAAGTCACACAGGACATAGTGGCCTCGGTCATGCAAGAGGATATTTTCAACCTGAAAAACATTCCCCAACCACCCGATCCAAGATATTATTTAGTAATGCATATGAAAATCTGGTTCATAGTCACATAAATATTCTATTTCTGATAATCCCACTAATATGCACGGGAAAGTTCTTCCCCACCAAGTATCTCGCCAGGGGTCATCCCAAGTGAACAAAAAGAAAAGCATAGTAACAGGGTAAAATGAGAGTAGAGGGGGTAAATAGAGGAAAGTCCACAATGGGAAAATGAGTCCCGCTTACCTAGATTTCCAGCTACATTCCTCACCTTGGCAGAAACAGTCCTAACACTTTTAAGTCTCTGTATCTTTTTTCATGCTTTTCTCTCCATCTAGAATACTCTCTATGACCTCCACCCCCTTAGCCAACTATCAATATCCCATTCATCTTCCGAACTCCAGTTCAGATGCCACGTCTTCTTTGAAGCCTTCCTCAAGCACCCACTCAGACAAATGTCACTCTTTCCCCATGGCCCTTCAGTACTTCATTCTTCCTGACATCAGTGATTTCACTTGAGTCTTAAACATGCATATATCAATTTCTTTACTACAGTAAGTTAGAATTTCCAGAATTAATAAACATTTGCTGTATTTTAGTTACTTCTCAAAGTGATTAAAGGCCTGTGGGCAAATGTCCAGTTTTCCTGTTGAAGTATTACCTTATCTTTCTGCAGATGAATGCTTTGGGCAGCGAGTTAGCAGTTCCAGGTAGAAGGGAGCTTACAAAGACCAGAATCTACAGAAATCTCTGGTATCAAAGGAGTATGCCAGTGCAAGAATAACTCCAAAATAGTGGGCACTTCTGTACTCAGGATGTACTGAGTCATTTTTGGTCTAGGTGAATTGCGTTGACCGGTATGTTGGAGGACAGACCTAGCTATGCGTGGGCAGTAAAATGGCGGCCAAAAAATCTTGTTAGGCCAGTAAGTCTATAGTCTCCGTTGTCTTTTGTCTTCAGCCTTCCAAAGACTGATCACTTTCGGAAAACAAAGGCCAGAGTCTACTATAGGCTCCTTAAAGACAAACACCATCTCGGGGTGGCTCAGCCACCCATCTGGGTGGCTCAGTCGGGTTGGGCGTCTGACTTCGGCTCAGGTCATGATCTCACGGTTTTTGAGTTCGAGCCCCGCATCAGGCTCTGTGCTGACAGCTCAGAGCCTGGAGCCTGCTTCAGATTCTGTGTCCACTTCTCTCTCTGCCCCTCGCCAACCTGTGCTCTGTCTTTCTATGTCTCTCAAAAAATAAATAAATGTAAAAAAAAAAAAAAGACAAGCACCATCTCTTCATTGCGTTTGTAGTCTTCTCTGCCAGTGCCTACCATTGTGCTTGGTACAGAAATGTTGGTTGAATGGTATAAGTTAAAAAAGAGGAACACATTTAATACTGTGTTTGTGTGTGTGTGTGTGTGTGTGTGTGTGTGAGAAGCAAGATGGGAGCCACCAAATACCCAGACCCTATTACTGCACATATTGGTTCTTTAAAAAAACAAACAAACAAAAATCTGGTCAACTGTGATAGTCTCTTGTTCCAATACTCGTTTCTACCTATACTTGCTTTAATTCTCCTAAAAATTACATTATTATAAAAATGTTTATAGTTTGTATCTGCTAAATCTAACACCTAAAGTCTTTGCTGCAAACTGATTCTTTCATTTGTTGTCTCTTACTCCTACTGAGTCTCACTCCTGGTACTGTTATGAGGGGTTTTGTTACTGTTGCTGTTAACTCGTGTTCCTTGGAATTCATCTGGGGGAAGCCTATGAGGCCTGAGTTTAAAGTCTATTGTTCTTCCAGAAAGGATATGCTTTTGCACCTGGGGCACTGCTAACCTACAATCACTTTAACCTAGAATTTTGACCTTGGGATCTTTAGCCACATAAGGCAGTATGAACTACGGCTATCATCTCTCATGGATATGCTCTTGTTCTCCAGAGACAAGGCTAAGGGAAGCAAATATTTCTACCATCTACAGCTTTTCAAAAACTCATCAGTTTAACCTATTTACACAAAGTAAAACAGTCAAGCTATCCTGAACATATACTCACTTTAGGTATCTAAAATAATTCCGACAAAACAATACTAATATTTCTAATCTACTTTAGAGGTTATAAACAGAACAGCTACGATTTCCTAAGCTTTTACTATTACGAGTACTACTGTACTCATCACTTTACACGGATTATCCTCATAATAATACAATAATATCCCTGTTTTACAGATGTGGAGAGTGAGACTCACAGTGATGAAGTTGGGAAGCAAACCTAGGCAATTTAATTCTAGAGAAAGGCAGGTAATTACCTTTCTGCCAGGGTAGGAAGCAGATGAATTACTCACAGTCCCCACCCATAAGTATCCACCAACTGACGTGGGTATGATGACTATATTTGCCCAGTGTACTGGATACAAGCTTAAGGACAGGGCTGCCTCGGTCCTTTATGTTCACAAATATCCCATAACAGGAATCTAGTCAATGAGGAACTGGGTGTCTAACCACTAGCTGGGCTGCTTTGCTCAGTGTCTCATAAACATTCCCTGTATCGCCAGGCTTATCATTTTATTCAATTGCTCATTCTCTACCTGTCAAATCGTAGCCATTCTTCAGGGCTTTGCTCAAGTCGCAAGTCCTCAGTAAAACCTTCCATGGCTATCCTACAAAATCTGCAGAACTTACTGTCCATAGGAGGCGCTGCCAAAGTAAGACCTTTGGGCCAAATACAGCCATGCCCATTGGTTACTTATCCTCTAGTCTATGGCTGCTTTTGAGCTCCAGTGGCAGAGGTGAGTAGTTGTGACAGACGATCTGGCTGACAAGCCAAAATATTTACTATCTGGTCCTTTGCAGAAGTTTGCCAACTTCTGGTCTATAATTACACTATGCCTGTGTGTCTCCTGCAATACCCAGTCAAGTATTTTACATACACCAGATACCCTTCCATCCCTTATTCAGTATCCATTAGCAGTGATCTTCCTTCCTGGTCTCACGTGAAACCATGCATCTCCCATTATATGTGTTCAGTCCCTTCCCAAATTAGTTTCTATTCTTCTAATGCTAGATTGTACATTCTAAAACACTGTTTTGTTTTGTTTTTTTTTAAGATGAACATTTTTTTTTTTTTAATTTTTTTTTCAACGTTTATTTATTTTTGGGACAGAGAGAGACAGAACATGAACGGGGGAGGGGCAGAGAGAGAGGGAGACACAGAATCGGAAACAGGCTCCAGGTTCTGAGCCATCAGCCCAGAGCCTGACGCGGGGCTCGAACTCACGGAGCGCGAGATCGTGACCTGGCTGAAGTCGGACGCTTAACCGACTGCGCCACCCAGGCGCCCCTCTAAAACACTGTTAAGTGAGTTCACGTCAAAATACAAATAAGGTAGTTCCAGGGACCAAAATCACTGGGTTGGGCCAGAGGCAGTGGGGGTGGGGGTGAGGGGGTCAGCGGGAAGGAAAACTGAGTAGACAAAAGACAGAATAACGATGAGGCACATAAGGGTTTTTATCTTGTTTTTATCCCCCTCACCTAAAAAACTCGGTTTGTATTTCTGGTTAGCTCCAGAGCGGCAGCACTCAGCAGTTATACCGTTATCAACCTTCCCATAAAGATAACATTGCACAAGACTGTATTTGCAGGAAAAGCAGTTAAAAAGTAAAGGTGTGTACAAAAGTGGACCTAAAGCCAGAAATACCAACGTAGGGGAAAGCCTTATCAATATCAAAGAAATACTAATGCAGGTAAGAACCATAAGCCCTGCTCCGGTGGCCCTGCAGGTTTGCTGGGAGGATCATGAGACTGCGAAGGTGAACTCGCTTAGCAGCAGCCACCTCAGCAGTGGCCACACCCTCTGCGCCTTCTCAGTCTGTCCCTGTGACTTGTAACACCCGTGGAAACCTCCAAGATCAAGCTGGCCGCTGCCCTTCGTCACCACCAGCACACTTAACACAGAGCCTGGTGCTCGGCAACCACATTGGACCTGGGGGTCAGAAAAGCTCAGGGACTATTTAGATGTCTGACCTTGGACAAACCTTTAAACCTCTTTGGGCTTGTTTCTCATCTGCAAAGTACAGCTAATACTATTTCTATCATGGTTTTTATGAAGCAAGCAAGAGAATGTATGTGAGAGCAAACTATAAGTCTCCCTATATAAACCTAAGAAGTTATTACCACTCATTTTAGAGAGACACACACACATTTGAACTCCTACTATATGCCAAGTAGCTTCTGGAGATAAGGTTATGAACAAATCCAAGTTCAGCTGCTCGTGTCGTGTAGAGTCTAGTGGAAGAGAGTAAGGAAGTAAATATAATTGCCAGGTGGTGATAACTGTTATAAAAAAAAAAGCCAACAGGTTAAATATATCTAAGGGGAAGAGGGATGCTACTGCAAATGGCACAGTTGGAAAGGTCACTGGGATGAGGTGAGCAGAGACCCAAATGAAGGGCAGCCACAGACCCCCTGGGGGAGGGGCACTCTCAGAGGAGAGGAGGGAGCAGGCCTGAGGCATCTGAGGCACAGAAGCAGGCCACCTTGGCTGGGACAGTACTGTGCTGGGCACTGGTGCCACAAAGAAAACTGAGGACATGGGACTGGGCATACTAAGGGCTAGCGCCCTTGTGAATGGGGAGGCCGGATACTGCTGGGCCTTGGGGGAAGTGAAGGACTTAGGTGAGTGAAACTCATAATAGAACCAAAGGCAGAGAAGCAGGAATGATGACAATAACAATCGTATCAGCAACTAGCAGCACTCACTAGGAGGCACTTTTACCTACAGGATTTCATGAAATTCTTACAAATTCTTACAAAGTCTTACTGTCCCCAGTTAAGAGATGAGAAAATTGAGCCCAGTTACCTAACATGCCTGAGGTCACTAGGCTGGTAGGGCAGGATGGGGCTCAGTCTGCCTGCGTGCTGAAGCTACACCCTCACCGCTGCACTGATACGCATCATGCCATCAAGGAATGAGGGCAGTTCACACCGGCAACCATGAAGGGAGAGAGAGGACCAGAGCAGCTGACAGAGGACAGACTGAGGAAGGTCACTAGGGAGACACTGAGCAGATGGAAAGAGGTGTTTTAGGAAGGTTAGCATGGTGAGAGAGGAGAAGGGAGAACACGAGGGCGGGTGCAACTGTCTAGAGGGGAGGCGACTCAGGCCAGGTCTAGAGCAGGGCCCAGAGGAATTAAGGTGGACGAGGAAGGGAGACAACCAACTGGACATTTGTGTATCATCTTCTGGAAGCTCCAGAGAACTTTCCTAGTGATCTGTTTTTGGCAAAGTCCCTTAGGATGTAAGCCTAATGGTGGTCACCACTGCTTACAATCCTACATTCTTCCAGCTCTTTGAGGGTTTAATGCTGCTGACCTTATTTCCCAACCCATCGGCTTAAGAGGGTTATTAAAGCTGTCACTACCAAACTCTGCTTACAGCTGTAGCTAAAAGGTCTGGAAAGCCACCTCCTACTGACCCTTCCTCTTCACATTATTCCAAACAGATATGGCATTCAGGCATTTCAATCACCAGAAATTTTGGAGGATTAGATAAATGTAGGTGTTCAAACTTGTGATTCTAAAAATGGGACAAGAATCTTCATCCTATTGTACTTCACGAAATCAAAATCTCTTTTCTGACGAAAGAGGACACATTCATGACTTTCTCAATCTGAATGCACTTATTAAATCTTAACCCCTTCTTAAGTGCCTGGACAGACAGCATGGTATAATAGAGCAAAAACAAACAAACACCAAAATGGGAGTAAAAACCCTTGGCCTTTGTTCTAGTTTGACCACAGAATTAGCTGTGCAGGTCACAGCCTTTCTGGGCAGAGGATTCCTCATTGGTAATAGGAGAGGGCTGGCTTAGGTGACCTTCCCAGCTCTATGACCCCATGATCTGCAATGATCTCTTTCTTTCCTCAGGGAGATAAAAATTAAACAAAAACAGGGAAATGATTAATATGCTAAAATATCGTATTTGAAGAAAGACCTCCAATAACGAACAGAACTTTGGTAATGGTTATTTTTATAACATAAGCTGCTTCAGGATAGGGACCGCTTTCAGTTTATTTCCCGCACATAATTTGAAAGAAAGACCACACACGTGGCAGGCAGGGCAAGAGGGGCTTTTCCTCTGTTCTGCGTGTGAACAGGCAGACCCAGGGTGGCACTGACTCCACAAGGGGATCTGCAGCTGGCCTGGCCTGTGCTCTTTTCCATGTCATACTGACTTTTGTTCAAGATGGTGCCTCCTCACCAAATGTCAATCTGCTTAGAGAAGCAACTACAGATCAGCAACCAGCACCTCCTCTGGCCAACAGGAGAATTAAGAACTTCTAGGCTCTGGCTACCGCTAGGACTCTAGTGGCTGGACATGTAGCTCAGAGTGTCCGAGACTACGTGATGGCAAACAACAGGTACACAGGGACTTTTTGGTCAGGCCTTAGGAGGCTGGCAGTGCGGGAGGCAAACGGACTGACTGCCCACCGGGCACATATTAGTATAAATCAATAAAATCTAATTTGCTAACCAAAACAGCTATACGGCACAGAGTATAAGATATGGGGAGTCTGGGAAACCTTCAGTCAAAACAACCAGGAGTCAATAACTGCAATTAACAGCCACAGGACTTTTTTGGAACAATCACAATCGAGGCCTCCTCTCAGGGGCCCCTATTTACATTCCCTATTTCCAAGGTAGAGGAGAAATGGAAACAAAGTCTCCTGAATCACTCCCGGCAACCCAGCAGCAGGCCTGACGGTCTTCCCGATGCATTAAAACACAACTACAGAGCCCCAGAGCGTGTTGCCAGCACTGTGCTGACTTTCAGGAGCACCGAGGAGGGTCAAAGGGTACAGGGCTACGGATGAGCTGGGAACCAGCGTGGCAGCCTCTCCTCCAATTCCACTTTGCTCCACGTTCTTCTGCTAAAATATCTCATGGACCATTCAGGGCAGCGAAGAGAGAGTCCGGGGCTCCTACTCCCATCCTACTTCCTGTCCCCAGGTGGACCCTGAGCTCTGTACTTCAGGCTCCTATCACTGGATGACACTTAACCAACCGCCTCACAGCAGCATTGAGATGCTGGGAATGTGCAAATTAGGTAGGTGTTATTTACAGGTATGAAAAGATTCATCATTGAGGCCTCATTTAATCCAGTTAAAATAAAGGAAGATTCTGTTCGAGAACACGGGATCAGCACTCTCTACAAGGATGCTCAGTGGCCCTCTCTGCCTCCTTCCTTTGCCCTCACCTTCATGCCCTGGCAGGCACTTGCTGTGTCACAGGTGTGCCTGGAGACGGACACGCATGCTCTAAGGCCTCCTTGTCCCCTTCTCTAGGTAGCCCTCAGCATCTGCTCTCTGCCTGACATGTCCTTCGTCCTCTTTGTGACCACTTAAATCCCACAAGCCTGTAAAATCCCATTTTTCCAGAAGATCCCAACTTGCGTTACCCGGTCCCGCTACCCGATCGTACGTTAAGCAGCTTGATAACTCTGCTTGTTCATCACTTTGTTCTACAAAGTTCTGTATTTCACCTGTCTCTGTTTCAAATCTAAACACTTCATTTGTTTCATTTATATCCTGTCACCGATACCAAAGCATCTGGGAAGTAGGAACCGTATTATACCGTGTTACTGTACCCCGTTCCACAGAATTATGTACTTGTACTCTGCTAGGCTCATAATACTTGCTGAAATGTATTCTCCCTTTCCTACTAGAAAAAGGGCTGACTGTGGGTAGGGGGACACTGGAGGGGGCTAGCTAAGGCTTTTGAAGTTATGTACCTATCTTCCCTTAAGCTCACTGCTTTACTACAGAAACACCGCGATGTAAGTACCACGTTACACTAACCGGGATTGCTAAAATAAAAAAGGACGGTAAGGGTTGGTGAGGATGTGGAGAAAACGGCACCCTCATGTGTTGCTGGTGGCAGAGAAACAGCACAGCCACTCTACAAAACAGTTTGGCAGTTCCCCAGGGAGTTAACCGTAGTTACCACACGACCCAACAATTCCACCTCTAGGTAGATGCTCAAGAGAACGGACATGTGCCCACTTGAAACAGGTACACAGGTGTTCACAGTCTCGTTCGGAATATCCAAGGTCAAAACAACTCAAATGTCCATCAGTGACCAGATAAACAAAATGTAGTCTATCTACACTGTGAATATCATGCCATGAGAAGAAATGAAGTGGTGCTACACCCTGCAACACTGATAAGCCTTGACAACATCATTACGTTTGGTGAAAGACGTCAGACACGAGAGGCCTCTTACTGAATGAGCCCGTTTATATGAAATGCACAGAACAGGCAACAGAAAGCAGATTAGTGTTTGCCTGGGGCCGAGGTGAGGTGGGAGTGAAGAGTGACTGCTGATGGATACACACGGTTTCCTTTGGGGAGACGAAATGTTCTGGAGTCAGATAGTGTGATGGTTGCACAGCCTGGTAAATACAGTAAAAGCCACTGAACTGTATGCTTCGAAAGGGTGAGTTTTATGGTGTATGAATTATATCTCCATTTTTTAAAAAAAGCTAAAAAGAAAAAAAAATCCCTCAAAACAGAAATGCTGGCATGCCCCTTGTGTTCCTCAAACTTTAAAACACACAAAACCCACCCAGGGCGATTATTAAGCTATGAATTCCTGGGCTTCCCTGACACCACCATAAAAATTATAGCCCAACAGATTCAGTGCAGAATCCAGTAGCCTGCACTTAACAAGTACACCAGGGGCTGCTGATATAAGTTATTAGCCATGAAGCGTGTTTCTCAAAACACAGGGATAATGAAAAGAAATTGTAATTTAGAATCAGAAGAGCTAGCTTCACATTCTGGTGCTGCTCCTTCCCGGTTGTATGACCGCAGTCAAGTCATGTGACCTGAGTTTCCTTGATTATACAATGTAAAGAAGAACATCTTCCTCCAAAGAGTGCGCATAAAGCGTCTAGTAGGGTACATGGCACATGTCAGTGAATCCTAACCGGGTGCCAATGCCATTCAACAAACGCTGTCAAATGACTAGAATAGGAAAGGCCGGCTACAAGGAGATGGTAATTAGTAGAACAAAATTTTTAAATAATCACTTAATGGATTTTGCAAAATACAAGAGAGACTTTAAAAACCAAGCATCGCTGTTCACAAACCATTTAAACGAGCATATTATTTTCTATAACCCTGGAAAAGTAAAACTGGGACTCTATCAGGAAAAACAAGAACAGCATGTATTCAGGCAGATGATTATAAAGAATTTCTAAAGGCTACCTAAGTAATAAAAGTGACACCTGTTTTATACTTTCTTTATTTTAATTTCTATTTTCTCTCCCCAGGCAGAATGTAAGACATGTAAGGTTTCCATGCCTGAAGCTTCTCTCACATGCCCAAAGCATCTCCCCCATCCCCGGGGCAGATGGAAAATACCCTGAACACACTTCATGAAACAGTGCGGCCTGTTACCTTCAGGTCACGGTGGATAATAGGAGTTTTGCACTGGTGCAGGCGGGCAACGGCTTCACAGGTGTCACAAAATATCTGGAGTACTTCATTCTCTGTAAAACCTGTCTGCAGGCGCTGATTCATTAAGTTGACCACCTGGCCTCCTGGAGGGGACACAGAGCAAGGGAGAGGTTAGAAACACTCAGACTCACGACTTACCCAAGACAATGAACGGCTGTCCACAGAGAAGCAACCTGGCCCAAGGTAACAGAGCTGATTGCTGGCCGAGGCACCCAAGTGTCTTGGTTCCCGGGCCCATATTTGTCTTCTTGCGATCCAGTGCCTCTTCTAACGCATCAAAAACAGTCTATTTTATAAAGCACTCCAGACGTGAGCTGCCTTCATTACATCTTCAAGATTAGTAGAAGCGACAATATGGTCCTGCTATAACCACTTGGGTCTATTGTCCCCATTTGTATGAGATGAGGCCCCAAGGTTCAACCTGTCGTATCTTTTAGTAGGAATCAGACTACATAATAGACTCCAAGAGCAAGAAGAAGACAGCTTGTTATTTATTTTTTTATTTAAAAAAAAAATTTTTTTTTAACGTTCATTTATTTTTGAGACAGAGACAGAGCATGAATGGGGGAAGGTCAGAGAGAGAGGGAGACACAGAATCTGAAACAGGCTCCAGGCTCTGAGCTGTCAGCACGGAGCCCGACGCGGGGCTTGAACTCACGGACCTCGAGATCATGACCCGAGCCGAAATGGGACGCTTAACCGACCGAGCCACCCAGGCGCCCCAGAAGACAGCTTTTTAGCCTGTGCTTTAGGAACGGCGTGGTATCTCTGGCTTCACTAACTACTTGCTGCCAGGAATGTAGAAATGCTACCCCAACATTTATTCTCCAGGACAGTAAGATTGATGACCTCACTTACAAAATTATCCAGATCCCTGGATGCTCCTACTGCCACGTCTCTAAATATTTTAACACCCAAAAAGGAATGGACAGGACGAAACAAACTGTCGAGTTCAAATTGGTAGTATTTTATAAAATCAGCTTAAGAGTTCTTACAGGACAGGCTAAAATTATTGATTAACATCACATTTTGAGGGTTAACAACATATTTAACTTACGGTCAGTATCTTTAAAGGCAAGGAAAATGTCAGTGGAAGTAAGGATGATTATAAAACAGGGCACCAAACAGGAGACAGTGACCCAAGCCTATAAGTGGCAGCTGCTTAAGCCAAAAAAAAAAGTCAAACCTCCAGGCTGGCTGTTTGAAACGCAGTCAAATCTGAATCAATTCATGCTACAGTCTGGATTTCCGGAGATAAATGTGGCTTGAAACTCCAAGCTTTCAACTACTTAACTCTACTGGTAACAGCAGCATCGTTTGAATGGAGCCTCACTGGCAATTACAGCTTGCAAGCAAGGAGAGGAAAGGTCATTTCCATTAGACGAAAAGGATTATGTCCCACCCACCCCCTCCCCAACACAAGGTGGTGTGGGTGGAGAAGAGAACACAGGAGGGAGGGAGTTGAGAGGCTGAATCGTTTCTTCAGTCCATCTGGAGTTGGGTCTTTATTATGTGCCTTCATCACTTGTTTTAAAGCATCACAAATAACACATTCATTCTCCCCCTCATCCTTTCTCATTCATACACAAACACCAAACCTTCCTAAATCTACCAGAAAGGGAGTTTTGTATTATCCACCATTTCAAATTGTTTGCCACCATAAGAATAACCAAGACGTGACAGCATGCTCTGTATCTTTTAGCCTCACAGTTTTCTTTAAAACCACAACAACATACATTAGGGCACAGTGCACATTAACTGAAATGACCCCCATGCCCTTGACAATCAAAGTTCCAGAGCAATGCGAGCTTAAGGTATGGGTCATATACTCACCCCTACAGAAGTCCATCAGAATGAGCACTTCCCATACATCACCACTGCTCACGTTGTTGATACTGGAGTCAATGTAGCCCACAATGTTCTTGTGCCCCGACAGGTCTCTCTGTAAAGAAGAGTAGAGAAATATAGTATTAGTTACAGATACCGATACAGACAAAATGAGCCAGTCAGTTCCATTAGCACAGATAATTTAAATACAAAGAGGAGGCGCCTGGGTGCCTCAGTCGGTTAAGCATCCGACTTCGGCTCAGGTCATGATCTCACAGTCCGTGAGTTTGAGCCCCGCGTCAGGCTCTGTGCTGACAGCTCAGAGCCTGGAGCCTGCTTAAGATTCTGTGTCTCCCTCTCTCTCTGCCCCTCCCCTGCTCATGCTCTGTCTCTCTGTGTCTTAAAAATAAGTAAAAACATTTAAAAAAAAAATTCGGGAAGAGGGGAGTGGAAAAAGAAGTGGTTCTATGAGTCACCATACAAACAAGGCAGTTTAGACCATAAAAACGGTAACTACCACCACACTAACCAGAGATTTGGCTGCTTAGAGTGATAAATAAAGTCTCTTTTAATTTGAAATTATATACCAAGACAAGAAAAAAATCTCATAGTATCAAATGAATATACCTGAACTCTGAGCATCAAAGTTAAAACTCATTAGAACGTTCCACTGAGTGAAGGAGTAAGAATGACTGTTGCCTCAGAAAGGTAGACAAAAACAGAAATGTGACACTGGAACTAACAGTGGAAAGTCACTGGAGCCCTATGAGAGAACAGTTTCAGAGAAGGGATGGGATGGGGGTGGTGGGGAGAGCAGAAATGGACTTGCAAAGAGTTGAGCACATAGAGCTGGTGACTACAAATCAGTCCTCTAGAACATCTCGTGCTTCAGAGAGGAACAGCATGGAGAGAAGGAATTCTTAGGATGGGAAAGAAGTGAGCCTGGGAGAGTGGAAGCAGCCAGGAGCAGAAACCTTTAGCATATAGGAGAGGACAAAGGATAACTGCTGGAACCAAGTCCTGCAGGAAGAAGGGGCAGGGACTGAGAGCACTGTTAAAGGGACTGGTCTTAGAAAGAAGAGCAGGAAGGAAACAAAGATGGATATGCATACTGGTTTACAGCTGGAGAAAAGGGAATTTCATTGAGTTCCGATCTATTGTTCTGTTTTTGGTAGAGAGCAAGACCACGTTTGCAGTGTAAGGGAATGAGAAAGAAGCTTGATGAGAGAAATAAAAGGCTTCGAGCAACTACTTTGGATAACAGACAAGGGAGATGATGAAGCAGAAAAGCGGTCTCTCTCCTTCAAGTTCCTCCACAACAGAAAATGACTTCAGGGTTCATGTCACAAGGCCTGTTCTTCCCGCTGCTTTTCAGTCTCATCACCAACTCTTCAAAAACTTGATTTCGTTTACACAGTCTGGGAAGTAGGAAGAACTGGAGAGAAGTTTTTGAAGCCAAAATAGAGCAGAAGATCATGTTCTCCAAATGTTCACAAGACGAATGAAAAACTAATGTTTCCACATTAGTAATTCATCTACATTTAACTGTTTGAAAAAGAATCAGCAGTGTTACCTCTGATTTGTCTCACCCCAAGAGGAATAATAAAAAATCAGGAAGGAAAAAAAGCATTTGGTAGAGCCAAGAGGAGGTCAAGAGCTATTAGAAGACCCACACTGGATAATTAACATCTGCAGATGGCATCCTAGAACAGTTGCCAAGCTGTCTGCTGATCAGTTCAAGCCCAAATTCCTGTTCATTTGTCTTCTGCAGAGTTCCTGAGATATGTCCAAGCAGAAAAGATCTCCTCTTTGGAGAGAAACGATGGAACTCACTTTTAACGACTTGATGATACAGCAGCATCTCAGATTTTACAGTAAAACCTCACTAGTCTGTAACTGATGGAGAAGATCAATTTGAATGGATGTGAAATGCAGAAAAGGTCAGGAGAAAAATCTTACCGCAAAGTGAGACTGACTCACACAGGGGGTACACTGCTCAGTTCTCCATATTAACAGGCCAGAGGAGGTCCAAGATTCCCCGACTTTCATCACAAGCCCGGTCCTAGGCTTGGAGAACAGAAATGGACATAGAGGTATGGGATGGAACCCACATGGTATTGGAGCTCAAGGCCTCAGGAAAAGACAGGATATAGGGAAGATACCTTGATGCCCTTGGTTACAATTATTATTTGTGGTATTGAGATAAAAGTCTATATGATGAATCTAAGTCAAAACCTGATTTTTAGGGGAGTGGGAAATGTTCAGTTAAATTACAGATCGGATCAGTTTATATTTTACAATTTAATCAGTGATAAGTCTAAGGAGTTTGAGTTGTTATTTTAAACCTTATTTTTAAACTAACGTTATATAGGGAGTTCCTGGGAGGCTCAGTCAGTAAAGCATCTGACTCTTGATTTGGGCTCAAGTCATGATCTCATGGTTTGCAGAGTTGAGTCCTGCATCAGGCTCTGCGCAGGCAGATTCTCGTTCTCCCTCTCTCTCTGCCCCTCCCTGGCTCACTCATGCTCATTCTCTCTCAAAATAAATAAATAAACTTCATATATATAATGTATGTATATATACATATATACATATATGTGTAATATATACACACATATACATATATGTGTAATATATACATATATGATATACATACATATATAATACACACATACATACACACACACACACACATACATACATAAAGAATGGGGAAAGAAATATGTGCAAATCATACACATGATAAGAATCCAGTATCCAGACTATAAAGAAGCCTTAAAGCTCAACAATAAAAAGGCAACACAATGTAAAAACTGGTAAAGGATCTGAATGTAAATTTCTCCAAAAAGCATATACAAATGGCTGATAGGCACATGAAAAGATGCTCAACGCCATTAATCACTTGGAAAACACAAATCAAAACCATAATGAGATATCACTCTACAACCACGAGGATGACTATAATTAAAAACAGAAATAATAAAAAATGTTGGCGAGGATGTGGACACTGGGACCTTCATACATTGCTGATAGAATATAAAATAGTGCAGCTTCTGTGGAAAATGGTTTGGCATTTTCTCAAAGAGTAGACTTACCACTTGACCCAACAATTTCACTTCTGTGTATATACCCAAGGGAAATACCATATTCACACAAAAATTTGAACACAAATGTCCTTAGCAGCATTATTCATAATACCAAAAAGCAGAAACAACCCCAATGTCCATTAGGATATACAAAATGTTATACATACATAGAATGGAATATGACGTCGCCAAAATGGGTTAAATATACCCACTTTCAATGACACGTCTTTTAGTTGCATCACCATTTTGGCTGCTCCCATTAAAATGCTTTGCTTTGTCTAGATCCTTTTTATAAGCATGGTCCCAGTTAATACTCCAGGTGTCGTTGGACGCCTGCAGAGTAGACGAGTACTATCACCTACTATTAATTTTATTAATGTAGCTAAAAATGGTATTCTTTTTCTTTTGGCAGCCACATTACACTACATATTCATACTGAGTTAACTGACCACTAAAATACTTGAGTCTTTTTCCACTAATGCTGCTTTAAATCTCCACCTTCCCAGAACTATGCTTGTAAAGTTGTTAAAATAAAATAAACGGGGCGCCTGGGTGGCGCAGTCGGTTGAGTGTCCGACTTCAGCCAGGTCACGATCTCACGGTCCGTGAGTTCGAGCCCCGCGTCAGGTTCTGGGCTGACAGCTCAGAGCCTGGAGCCTGTTTCCGATTCTGTGTCTCCCTCTCTCTCTGCCCCTCCCCCGTTCATGCTCTGTCTCTCTCTGTCCCAAAAATAAATAAACGTTGAAAAAAAAAATTTAAAAAAAAATAAAATAAAATAAAATAAAAATCCAAGTGTATGACCTTGCCTTGTTATTTCATCTCATTAGAATCACTCCATTGCTTCAATTGGTAAGGATTGTTTTAGACCCTGATTCTATTGCCCAATGTAGTTGTTATATCTTCCAACTTTGTATTAGGTACATAATTGATAAGTATGTCTTCTATCTCTTTAATCAAGTTCTTTATTAAATGTAAAATAACATAAAGCTAATGGTAAGCTGCAGGGCTTTTTTCTTAGAAAGTTTCTAAGATTAATATCAAATCACTGGTCAGAAATCATTATACACAGTAGCTATTATTCCTGGCATCCAGCCTAGACTCTCCAACTTGCTCACAGATCTCTGGTGAGTGTCCTTACCCAAATGATACGATCCACAGACACTGGACCTAGTGCACAATCCTGAGCTTCCTATCCAGAAACCTTCCCAGAGAAACCATGATGTTGATATGACATGGCCTGCTCTTATCCAACCTGAAGGCTCTTTGGATCCCTGCTTATTTACCCCAAGTGACTACAAAATAACTTAAAATTTTATTTTATTTTAAAAATAAAATATATTGGGGCGCCTGGGTGGCTCAGTCGGTTGGGCCTCTGACTTCGGCTCAGGTCATGATCTCACGGTTCGTGGGTTCGAGCCCTGCATCAGGTTCTGTGCCGATAGCTCAGAGCCTGGAGCCTGCTTTAAATTCTGTGTCTCCCTCTCTGACCCTCCCACCCCCCTCA